ATTTTGTTAGAACTCAATGATTATCCTAATTATATTTTAGATTTTTTATATTTAAAATGAGATGTTTATCCTGTATTGGATTGTGTTTATCTGCAGTTAGCTACGCGAATTCAGTTATGGGATGAAATCGGATAGAGATGAAATCGTTTAGGGATGAGCGGGTTTAAGAGTTTAAGAGATTAAGAGTTTAAGAGTTTTTAAGAGTTTTTAAGAGTTTTAGCCAAATGTATTATAATATAGTATAGATTATATGCTTGACAAGTGCATCATGTGTTCGATTCTGGTGTTTACGCTAGGTACTTTGATCGGTGTGAAGGTGGACATTCCTCCACTCGAGGAAATTAAACATTCTTTCTCTCTTTATTTCTTCATTCCGGGTGAGTACACATTGTTGGCTGCTGCGGTAATAGATGAGCCTAATGACATTCTGAGGGCTCGTGCACGTTCTGTTTCACATGATGAGCCAATCGTCTGTCGGGGACCACCTTATCATGTTCGAGTAAATGGTACCCTGTAAAGTCTTTTTATGTCCATAATTCCACGACTACATGCATACGTACTATATATCATTCATGTTCCAATATTTTGGTTGCACATAATCTTAAGATCACCATAGTCAGTCACAGTCACAGGGGTGGCCAAAAGCTACTGTGAGACAGAGAGAATAAAGAGAACCTTTGTTCTTGGAGTTCTTCCTTCAATTTTTTGTGCTTTATTTGATAATTTTCTTACTGTAGCCTATTTCAGGTATTACAAATTTACAATTGGAGTTGTTTCAATCTTTAAAAACTGCTTTGTTTCAGTCAGATTTACTACAATTATGCCTAATTTGTGGTAAGTTTTATCTGAAATGTATTATAGTGTTGACTCCTATAAGTAAGTACTTACTGGGTGAGCATTTGGGTAAACAGCCCCTTGGAGTCTTACCCGATAAGTGAGGGCGACGACTCTTACCACGGTTAACGTTTACCGAATAAATTGTTGTATACAATATCGTTTTGGTGATATAAAATCTTACCAAATAACTAAGTGATAACATTAAATTTTACCGATAAACATTTACCCGGGCAAACAATATGTAAACGGCACCTAACACATGTCACCAATTTTTTAAATCTTTTTGATACAAAATAAGTAAAAAGACTAAAATATCCTAATAAACTAGACCAACAGAAAATATTTTAAATAAAATTTGAGCAAGGGACCAAAGACATTATAAAATGCTTTATCACATTAAATCCGTACCATTTATAAACCACAAAGGCCAAGCATGGAGTGTACCATTCTATAATAATACGACTTGTTTACAATAAATAAAGGGAAACTACCATTTTGAAAAATCAAGAGCCTTTTATACAAGTACTAAAATAAATAACCATATGTGCAACGTGCTCAAATAAAAGTACGCTATCTAAAAATATGTAACACATTTTATTTTAATTTATAAATAAGAAAAACACAAGATTTTACCATACATAGAATAAAGGTCCATGCTTTGGTTGAACCACACCTTTGGGGTTGAATAAAGACCCTATCAGGCTTTTTTCATAACAAGATTAATTCGGCTTTCTCGGACTGAACTTCTTCGGACCGGGCTTAGCCTCCAAAAATTCAGCTTGATTGGGATTTGAGAGACTAAAGGGCCGCTTTTTCAATCGTTTACTCAGTTAAGTGTTTACAGGTAAAATTCAACATTATCATTTATATAACGGGTAAGATTTTAGTCCACAGTCGTTGCCATCACTTATTGGGTAAGACTCTTGGTCCTTGCCTTCGTTTTTACCGGATAATATTCTTGGTTCTTGTCATATTCATTCGATAAGGTAATGTGATTTGGTAAATGCTTACTCAGATAGACGTTTGGTAAACGATTCCTAAGGGTGTGTTTGATGTCCAGACAGAATATGACATGACAGAATAGAACAGGACGGATAGAACAACTGTTCAACATTTGGTAAGATAAAACAGAACAGAACAGAACAGAACAAGTAAAATGATCAATTTACCCTAATGACTTTATTATTTTAATTAATTTATGTTATTTATTAAATTACAATAGAATAATTATTTGTTATAACAAAATATATATCATCAGAAAGTTTTCGTCAAAATTAAAATGACACTAAGGTGTCAGTTACCAAACGCTTACCTAGGTAAGCACTTACCAAGTCACTTTACTTTACCGGATGAATATGACAAAGACTAAAAATCTTACCCGATAAGAGCGAAGGCAAGAATCGAGTCTTACCCGGTAAGCGAGGACGGGGACTTTTACCATGGTTAGCGCTTACCAGGATAAATTGTTGCATACGATGCGTTTTAGTGAATAAAATCTTACCCGGTAAGTAAGCGATAGTGTTAAATTTTACCGGCAATTGCTTACCGGATAAGTGTTTAGGTAAACGGCCCATAAATAAAAAGTTTATATAGTTTCCAATTTTTATTTATATCTCTTTTCTACATTATTTATTATTATAAATATATAATAAAGTACATGAATTAATAAAAATATAGAAACCGTATAAAAATAATATTCTGAGAACAGTAAAATGAAAATTTAAGAAACATAAAATACAATAAATAAAATTTAAAAAATGAATAAAATGTAAAAGGAAGAACTATTTGATGTTTTAAAAAAAAATTAAGTTTTATTTTGAGGTTATATTGACAAAATATAAGTTTATTTCATTTTGTCTCACTCTGTTCCTGTCTATTTGACATGAAAATCATATGAGACATGGATTTTTTCGGGCCAGCCACGGGCCAATGCCGGAGTAGACTTCGGACTTGGGCTTTTTTCACATGTATATATATAAAATGTTTATAAAATTGATTTTGTAAATTTCATGTTATTAAAAAAAAAAAGTTGTAAAGAAACAAAAGTAACTTTTCTAAGAGCCAAAAATGACAAATCCAGAATAATGTACAACAATCGATCCACGACGTACAAACTGTTACAGCATTGCGATTATTCTGGAAAAATAAATTACCAAAAAGAAAAGAAGATGATATCACTACTGTAATAAATATATTTCGGGTTTCTTCTTGGAGGTTGGTGCGTCTATTTACTATTTTGACCTTCGTTTCGACGGGAATGCTCCGCCATTGTTTGATCTGTGACGCGACGACGTCCGCGGTACCAACGGCTCGAGAATGGAATCTCTGTATTTGAACGGCAACACCTGATTCCGGCCGCGCTTTGATTTCACCACCGGTGATGTATCCTCGAACTCCGCGTACCACTCCTCTGACGCCGCTGTCGTCGTCCAACAATACTTCTTCCGTTTCATTCCTCCTCGTTTCTCCGCCGCCGTCGATGACTCCACGTAGTTGAACGACGTCTCTGTTTTGTTAGTATGAGGCTCGCACTCATCGCCGAGGATCAATTGCGCGGCTTCGATTAACAAATCTAGGTATCCTTCATCTCTTGTTTTTTCTCCAACTTCTTCAGAGCATCCATTACAATCTATTCCGGAGCTCTGATCTCCGACATGCGAGATCTCCGAGTKCTCCGTYGTTCTCTCCTCCTCAACCGGTTCCTGTTTTTCCTCTAAAAACAAATCGATTTTGCGCCGATTATTCTTCGTAAACACGCAATCTTCACAATTGGCACCGCCTGTCGCCAGCAGCGGCGGATACTCTAATGGTTCAATCTCTTTCGAAGCACCTAAACCGATGTTGAGATCAACATCAAACTCTTTGTTTTCACAACTTCCATGACTACCATGACTTGAACGTTGCTTAAGCGAAACATCAACGGCGGGGAAAAGCGAAATGATTCGGAGGATCTTCAAAAGGCACATTTGAGCTTTGCCTGTTTTAGAGCGGCCGTGACGATCGGAATCGGTGGAGAACGACAACGCCGACGGAGATGTTGCCGGAGTGTGCGGTGAAGCCATTGAAACGGCGACGTAGGGCCGGTTTTATCCGGATATTAATCGGGAAGAAAGGAAAGATGTGACGGCCAAAAAAGCAAGAGATGAGAGAGAAAGAAGTTTTAAGTTGGACAGACAGGAGCTGCAGACAGTTGCAGTAAATTTTTGTTTTTTCTTTTTCTTTTTTTTTCCAATTTTATAATTCAATATCCTATAATTAAAAAAAAAATTATTACGATAAAATTGATTTTAAAGTAAATTACATGTTTATCTGGTAGGTGTTTTTAACTCTCTTAAGGGCTGATTGGTAAGTGTTTATCGGATAAATTTTTTCATTAGATAAACATGAGAAGGGGCCGATTGGTAAGTGTTTATCGGATAAATTTTTTCATCAGATAAACATGAGAAGGGCCAAGAATCTTACCGGGTAAGAGCGATGCGAATGATTGAGAGTCTTACCCGAAAAGTGAAGATGACGACTCTTACCAAGGTAAACGTTTATCCAGTAAATTATTGCATTCGATATGTTTTGATGTACTAAAATCTTACGCATCAAAATAAATCATAGTGTTGACTCATATCGATAAACGTTTACCGGGTAAGCAATTGGGTAAGCGACCCCTTTAGTCTTTTTTTCTTTTTGAAAATTCAACGGAAATTGTTTTTATGGTTGGGTTTTTTATCGAGTTATAGCGCTATGATTGTATTTATTTCATGAATTAGGTTTTTATGGTTGCGGTTCTTTGATGTGTTCGGTAACTAAAAGCATCTTAAATGTAAGATTCTTATAAGTAAAAATTGTAGTTTCTTACAAAACCAGTATTTGTGGAGAGTTTTTATAAGAACCTCACATCCTTTAGGGTTGGGTTCATGTGAGATCAAAGGTTTTTTGTGAGACCCGTAAGATCAATTTATATTCATTGATCAACTTTAAAATCTAATGATCTGATCATCTAAAGTTGCAGGGTGACAATTTTGTGATTATTGAGAAGTCTCGTGACAATTTTGTGATTATGAATATTTAGATTATAAATCTAATCCAATGGTTGAGAATTGGTCTTGCGGGTCTCACGAAAAACCCTTGGTCTCACATTATCTCAAGTCATATATATAATTATAAAAACTTAATATTAAATTAATATATTAGTTATAGAGACCAACTTTATTGATCTCAAGATATATAATTAAAAGACCTCCATAATTTTTAGTGTTTTAGCGTAGGATTGAAGATGAAAATACATTTATTTTTGTATTTTTAATGTTGAATTTGAGATGCCCTAAATAAATCAACAATCTGGGTCCCGATAATTATATTACAGACTTAGCTCTTTGTAAAAAAGCAACCACATGAACACGATCTATAAAATATTCTAAAAAAGATAAGAATCATTGAAGACGTATAACCACAAAAAGTGAAACATATAATTTTCTCTTAATTATATTTTTGTTACGAGGAATTGTCCTTCACAATAAATTTGATCTTAAAAAATAATGTAAAATTTAAATTAAAAAATAACCCTAGAAAAAAGATGTATAAAGCGATGGTAATTCATCATTAAACGTGAACCTTTTTGACATGTTTGTGAATCAAAAAATACACGTAATTTTTTTTACATTGTGAACAGAATACATATAAAACAGATATATGTTAATCAATACATTAACTACTATGCCTAGATAAAAAAAAGAATCATACGAAATAACATATGATGCACAAGTTCTCAAAGTTATCACAATTTCATATATTCTCAAATAATTAATTTATA